GCAGACATGACAGCTGCCACTTTGAACGAAAACGATCATAGAGCAATGTGCATGCTTTTTCATTCTTGTGTTTTATTTATTTGTCAATTAAAAAAATATCAATGCATATGATTAAATAATGATAGCTACTGCAGTGTACCCAAAGCATTACAAGAACAAAGAACGGCTCCCAGTGACCCTCCAGTCCTATTTTCTAAGTAAAGAGCCGTTCAGAAGAACCGGACTGTTCCTGAATATCACATCATTATATTGCAGACTTTTGGACACAGCGTTGTCCCATATCTGGGACAAGTCAGTCAACACCTCCGCACAATAATTAAGTGCAGTGAGTGACTTTGTTTTCCATCACAAATGCTTAGTGTCTCTATACAGCTAGCTTCGCTAACATCACGTCGGAGCTTACCTTTCTTTGAGCTACTTTTCTAAGTGACGAAAAAAGTTAGACGTTGTCTCCACCGTCTGTGAAAGCGAAGCGCTGCTGAGTTAGCTGTGGCCATCGGATTTCTTATGATTTATGCAGCGCTATTATATTACTGACAATTAGACAGACATCTTCTGCCGCTGAGAGAAAACCACTGCGCATGTCTCAGAGCCGCGTGCGACTGAAAGGTGGGGAGGGTGAGTAACAGAAACACGTTGTTGCTTGGATTTTAATCGGTGTGTTTTGCATCCACTGAAAACAACGATGTTAACAAATAAACTGGACAGTATGCTGTACGTTTAGTGATATTTTCACAGTTGCGGTCTTGACTGGTCTTGAAATAAAATGCTGAGTCCTCAGAGCCCGAGACAAGACAGAGACCATCAAAAAATGGTCTTGAGACTAAGACCAAGATCGAGAACTACAACACTGTAGTATACTATGACTCATTTTTGCATATTTTTGACATCATACAATACTATGATGCGAAAAATGTGAAAAAATGACAAATGCTATATTATGACGTAAAAGACATATAAATATGACCCTTGCTATACTATGATGCGAAAAACGTGAAAAAATTGCCCTTAATATACTATGACCAAAAAATGTGCAAAAATGGCACTTTCCATACTATGAAGTAAAATACATATAAAAATGACAAATGCTATATTTTGACACGAAAAACGTGCAAAAATGTCATAATTCAGCATGATTTTGAAAATGAGCTCAAATCTGGTGTATTTGAAGCACGTATAACATGCCCAATTCCTCATTTAACCAAAGTCAAGATGTTTTATAGTCAAAATGCACCTTCGATCATAAACTCCAGGTGTTCGACATGTCTGCCCAGAGCACGACTGCAGCATCATCAGCCGATGGTTCATCTTTTCCAGCACTTCCTGCTCAATGGTCTTTGCGATATTGTTGAGCTGGTAGGGATCTGCCGTCACGTTATAAACTTCCACAAACACCTGCAGAACAGACAATCATTCTGGGCTTCAGATCCAGCCACTAGCAGTCACTAAAGTCTGGGAAGTTCTGAGCTAATTAAAATCCACATTCTGAGGAAAGCTGGGTCTTTTAAATGAAACTGATGATGTACCTCGTTGTCATCGAATTCGCAGTACTGCAAGTTGGCAGAGGGGGCGACGGTGCGCACACAGGCATAAGTGTTATTGTACGAGTCCTCGCACACACAGTCTGGGAAGCACTCCTGCAGAAGAAGAAGATTTCTTTACACGTTCATTCAACAGGTAAACGATAATTTGATCTGGGTTTTCCTTGTACCGACACTCCCGGTCCCAACAGCGGGCAGGCTGGATCCGAAACGTTCCTTCCTTCACCTTCATACTCCACCAGGATGTCTGTTCTCCAGCTGCTGCTGTTCACCTTCCCTTGCTGCTGAAAGAACAAAAAATTAAAGTCTCTTGATTTATCATAGTTTGTCACTTTTTTTCATTAAAGTTTGTTTTCTGCACCATTCAATTAATTTCTTCCTGTCTTATTTCATCTAAGTGTTATAATAATAATGTCAGCGAATACTAGCACATATTATTGTGTATAATTTGACATAAAGGCCTAACTATATGCACATACCCACTAAGATTTGGTTAAATGTTAAAGTTGCACCAAGCTGAGTATTAGGCCAGAATTGAGAGAAACCATTTAAAGCTGTTGAGCCAAATTTTAAGAATCATCCATAAATGTGGAAAAGTTCAGTTTTTAGGCTGTTTCAATGTCGATGTTTGAGATCTTTGTCTCCCCGTTTCAACCATCTAGATGTTGATTTAAGGTGCAAGAAGCAAAACAACAGAAAAACAGCCCACAGCATGATGAATTATGGATAATCTGGAATTAAAAATGTAGATACAATTAATGTTTTACAAATCTTAGCAGCTGTGCAGTCAGTCCACTCAGAAAACCTTTAACTTAATCACTGAAAGACAAAAATGATCTATTATGCTGATGATGATCGATTTAAATGTTGAAGGGAGCTCTATGTGCAAATAGTTTAAATAATGTAAGTTGTGACAGATTTAGTTTTACAATATTTGGACAAAAAAACAAATTATATAAATACTAATATACTATCAGCTAAATAGCATGAGTCAGACTCTCAAATACTGTTATTTAAATACGTAAAGGCGATGATGCAGTATAAAAGCTTTTTTACGATTCGTGGACATTTGGAATATTACTTACCAAGTAAAGAGGAGAAATATTTTTACCGCTCTTTAAATTCATAAGATTACATAAACTGAAATTACTCTGCGTTTAAACCATTAATAAAAGCTCATCAATTGTTCTTGTGAAATAAATAGATGACGTTCTCTCACCATAATGGGCAGGAAGGACATGCCGTCCATTTGGGTCTTGTTGACGTTGTAGCCGGCGATGTCCAGGATGGTCGGGCCGAGGTCGACGTTCGCCACCGGCATCTGACACCATCAACACAGAACAGATGGCTGAACCTTCAAAGTTACAATTTTACTATGTTACAACACATCTGATAATATGAAAAGTAATTCAATTCAAAAATACTTTACTGATCCCAAAGGGAAAGTAAATAACTCAATAATTTGAGATTCTTCAGAGTTACTGTGGTCAGGAATGATCTCCCGTTTGTGTTACAGCAAATTTGAAGAAGTTGACTCCAAGGACAAGTGAGATAAAAGCCTGATGTGTTTTGCTTTCACACTCCACTGTGTCAAACAAACTAAACCTTGTGGAAAAACCCGTTCCCCTCCTCACCTGTGGGGGCGCTGCCACAAGAACCACTGAAAAAGACAAGTTCCTTCTTCACTAAATGTAAGCAAAAATGGAGTGCCACCAGATTTTAGTGGTTGTAGGATTTCTGTTTTGTCTTTAGCCAAAGACCAGAAGCACGAAATGTCTAGACTCATGAGTTTGTTTTGGTTGTTTTTACCCAGAATGCTTTCATTCACTTCCTGCTTTTGGAGCGGTCTCCGGTCCACTTTGCATTCACATATGAATTTGAATTCAAATCGTGACAACTGAACCGAGACGAAGGTTTTTAGGTGAACCAGAGCTAGCCGTTTTGGTCGATTCCGTATGCAACAGTATAAAAACTGAGACAGTGTGAATGTTTGTACCTGACTGGTCTGGTTGGGTTTGATGTTTGGTCCTCTGACCAGGAGAGGAACCCTGATGTCGAACTCATAGAGCTGCCGTTTGTCCAGCGGCAGAGAGAACTGACCTGAATCAGAGCCAAACGCTTTAATTCATCACATCACCTAAAGAGAACTGGCAGAGATCAACATCCTCACTCACCTGTATGGTAGCCATTATCAGAGGTAAAGAAGATGTAGGTGTTCTCTAGTTCACCTCTGACCTCCAACTTCTTCACAATTTTCTCCACCAGATCGTCCACTGACAGTAAAGTTCGCCATCTAGAGCAACAAAAACAGATATTTGATCAGCAACAGTAGAAGCAGATATAAAGGTTAGAGAAAAAATAAAACCACAAACCGCTTCCTGAAGGCGTCATCGAGGAACTGGACAGAGGAGTTGGACATGGGAGTTTTAGCCTGACGGATCAACCAATGTTTGTCCTAAAATCACCAAATGAAGTCAGATTAATAAGGTTTTTAAATGAATGTAGCTGTTTTAATTGTCCTAAAATAGAGGTGGATTGAGTAGAGAAAGAAATATGAGAGAAAAAGAGTTTACCAAACTATTGGGTGGAAATCAGTTTTCAATAACAGTAGAGCTGAACAATAAATCAATAACAATATATATTGTGATAGAAACATGATCAATATCAATAGATACTGATCAATACGTCTGATAGCATATTCAGAACATATTCACTGAAGTCTGATGCAGAAAGAAAGGCTAAGCTAGGTTGGTGGAATCAACTAACTCACTTGCTCTTTGGTTGCCTAGCAACAATCTGCTGGGTAATGAGCAGTTTCAAGTTCCCCCTCCCCCAACTTTGGTTACCTAGCAACAGCCTACTGAGAAACAGTTTCAAGTTTCCCCACTGTGCCTCATAACTGCTTAAGAATAAACAAAATGGTGTTTAGTAAAAACTTTGGATAAAACAGGAAACCAACCAAAAAGCTGATAAATAATTATCGACACTGACAGTTATTGATATTGACTGATATGAAACATTATAACTTTTTCAGCTTGTATTGGCCTGGAAACTCAGTTTCTCTGGGGTAACCTGTTGGTTTTTGCCTTTAATTTTTTATGTGACAGTAAAAAGGGAAAGGGTTACCCAGATTTAATATCAGAGTCAAAATAAAACAGAGACATTTTAGAAATGTTTGAATCCATCTGGTTTCTGCTGTATACTAAAAGCGTGTCCCACCTTCCCGTGGACGTTAAAGTTGGGGTCTCTGGGAGCCTTGGTGTCGTTGAAGCGGTCCTGGTACTGAGGAGCCGCCGTCCACGGGGAGTGTGGCGCCGGCGTGGAAACCATCATGAAGAACGGCTGGTAACTGGATTTATACTGGAGGAAGTCCAGAGACCTGTTAGCCTGGGAGAGAAACAAAAACCAAAATTGATCATAACATTTCCCTTGTGTCTCTAATTGCACCTTTGACATTTAAACGAAGTCTCACCAGCACATCGGTCAGGTAATCTCTGCTGTAGTCCGCTCCATGTTTCTGAGCCTTCCCATTCACTGACAGAGTGTAGTTGTAGTATTTAGAGTTTTTCTCCTGGAAAACAAAAGTTATCCATTAATTCACTTTGAGAATCTCTGGTTGGTTCAGGGATAAAAACACAAATCAATCTGGCAATTTTTTCTTAAATGCTGTTTTTTTTACAAGTTTTAATAGTTCATTTTAATGGTCCAAAATACAGAAATTATGCTAAAATGGATGTTATGCTAAATCAGAAGTCATGATAAACATGCTAGCATAATTTTGTTGTATGTTAAAGCAAAACTAGTTGGTCTCAGAATTATGCTAAAACAGAAATTCATATTTAGCATAACTAACATTGTAACATAAATTCTGTTTTAGCATCTTGCTAAAATGTGATACTAAAACACACGTTATGATAAACTTGCTAGCATAACTTGTGTTTTAGCATAAATTATATTTTTGTGTAAATTTTGTTTTAGCGTGATATGTTTTATGGCAAATCTGAATTTATGATAAACTAGCTAGGATAACTTTCGTCTTAGCATGTGTAATTTTCATCTTCGACGTTAGGGTTGAATCGTTAAACTTAAACTTTAAAAGCTAAAATGTCCGAATACTACATAAAGTGGGATATTGGGAACACAAACCAGTTATTTATCAAATCAAGTATACTGAAATTCATTTAAAACTTCACAATTCATGTTTAAGGTCAGACATCAAAAACTTCCACACAATATACAGGAAATGTTTGGTGACAGAGAGGGTGGTTATAATTTAAGAGATGAAGGATATTTTAAAAAACAACATATTAGAACAACCAGGAAGAGTTTTTGTTTATCTGTGTGTGAAGTAAATGTCTGGAATGGATTGAATGATGAGTTAAAAAAAGTACAAATGTAAACCAATTTTAAAAACTCAACAGAGCTCATTTCAAAATATGATATACAAGATGACTGTTTAAAAGTCTATAATGCAATTGATTATATAAATAGTATTTAAATAATTGTACATAATCAAACATCATGTAAAATGGAAACAAGTTGTCTCTTTTTGATGTTCTGAAAGTTAATCGATTATAAATTGACATGTAGGAAAGGGGCAGGACATTATATCTTCTACCTGCTCCTTTTCGAACTGAAAATATAAAATTTGCATGTCACATGGGCAGAATAATTTGTTTTACGTTTTTATTTCTTACGCTTGTTTCATTTTATTTTTTTTCTGTCTGTTCTAAATAAATAAATAAATAAATAAATAAATGTCTTACCATTGCCACCCAGTAGCTCCAGCCTGGAGGAACGTGCTCCAAGCCACCAGCGTCAGAATGTCCATACTGGAAGACATAAACAATACAGATATTTTCAATAATCTCAATATAAGACAGGGAGCATTTTAATGAAGAAGCAAAGAAGACGGCAGATGGAACAATGCGTATGACCCCAGGTTAAAATGTTGTAAAAGTAGAAATGAACCAATCTTCTGTCGTTATTTAATATTTTGATCTTAAAGTAAATTTAAACGATGTCGTTTCTCCAGTAAAGGCATCGGTTATAGCAGAAGTGGAGGCTCATGTTTCTAACCTGGTTGAGGTATTTCCCTGCGAAGAAGGTTTGGTATCCTCCGAAGCTCTTCAGCAAAGCAGGGAAAGTTTGCGGCTCCTGGCTCTTCTGCCAGGCCAAGCTGCTGCAGTTCCCCTCCAGCGTGTTGTTGATGACGTGGTGGTTGTGGGGGTATTTCCCCGTCAGGATGCTGGCTCGACTCGGGCAGCAGAGAGGACTGGCGACAAACTGAGAAACACAAGCAAAATGGGCAAAATAAGCTGAAATGTTACATTTATCATTAGTATGGAAGTACAGAGCTCCCACCTAAACAACAGAGAATTACTTTACATCATGAAAACCGTATAGCAGGGGTCACCAACACGGTGCCCGCGGGTCCCTGGTCGCCTGAGGGGACCTTGTCAGTCGCCCGCGAGCAAGTTCTAAAAATAGCCATTGTAATTAGGGAGCACTGCCAAAAAATATTCAATTAAATGTTTTGTACCCACTTTAAAAAAAGAAAAGAATAATATGGATTTTTTATTATCTAACCCTCTTTACTATTAGCAAAATTGTGCAGAAAAAAACCTCTCTTTTTTTCAAAACGTCTTGTAGTAGCAAGTCTATGGCGGTGGGTACATCAAAGCTAAATGTCACTGGTCAGTTTATGTTTATTTGGCGGCTTGGCGCTTTTTCTGTAAGCTAAAAATGAATGAGCGGAGTTTGATCCCACTCTGGTTCTAACAGCGGTCATTTGGATCCCGGCTGAGCTTTATACCATGTGCGGTTCTGACGGGTCACATCTGCCACCCCTACTGAGCGTCTCAGACTGCGGGTTAAACAATTTAATCTAGTCTCCAAAAGAGTAAAAATTAAGCAAACAACGTTGCATCACTTTCTCCTCCTCTGGATGTCTGACACCACCAGAACCTGGGAATCAACATCCCCGTCTTTCCGTGGATCCTACGGGTAGGCTTCGCTTTCATGTCTATTATTTAGCATCGTTTGTAAAAAAAAAAAAGTCTACTGCTTTTGTGGTTTAGGTTTGCGCTGGTTAGGTGCAGACAGTGATAGTTTTGTGCTACTCTCCAACCTGTCTAACTTTTTTTTTTTTTTTT